AGTAGATCCTGCCATTGTCTCAGCGAACACTGAATTGCATATTAATTGAAGATCTAAGGCTCTACATCAAACAATAGAAGTGTAACCAAACATTGCAGACCTGGGACAGGAATGCCTCTAGAGCTAGATGGGAATGTTTGATTTAACAAGGCCCTTTAAATGTTTCCTTCAGAAACATTGCTAAATCCTTTGAAACTTTGACAGTGTTTTGCTACTAGCTGCAGCTAAAAATTATTTTCTGGAGATCAGTCCAGCATGCTTACTTTGTGGTCATATCCAAATGGCAGGAGCTAGGAACAGCCCCAGCATGCCAGCTCCTAGGGCTGCTTGAAACAGCACATCATGCAGATTAAACTCCTCACCCTCTGTGAGGCCTATTGACCGACCATTCACACAGGTGTGTTCTTACTGCTCCCTGATGAAAGGACAAATGAGATGATGCCATGAGAAGAGCTGCCTCTCATCCTTCTGGGAGGTGTATGAGTGTTGAGAGGGCAGAAATCATCTGCCAAGGGGGAGACTTAGATTAGCCAAGTGACACTTGTGCACTGCTTGAATAAACAGGTGAATTCAGTCACACTGTAATGCATTAAGGATTTCTATTAGAAAAAAAGAACACATCTCCTGGATGTATGATAATATTTGTACATATATAAAATAGAAGGAGGCAGACAGAAGTGAGCATTTCTCCAAGAGACGCTAATAATGTAACGTGTATCACTAAAAGTGGAAAAAAGGAATAATGCCAAGGAATTTAATGGATTCAAATCCGTATAAAAATTGGCCTCATAATGATTACAAAATATTTGAGTTTCAGAAATTGATCAAAGCTGTTTTATGGAAACCTGCATTGAGTCTGGGCCCAGCTTTTCAATTCAGTCTTTCTTTTATAGTGCTCCTGATCTGAATGACAGAATTCCTGAACTTTTATTTCTTTGTGCGACCCCTCTCAAGTGTGATTTGTTCGCTCAAAAGAAAACATTGTGACTTAAATCCCCATTTAAACAGTACAGATATAACTGGCAATAGTCAGTATCACCGTGGCGCTACTTAAGTCCCTGGTTTTAGAAGAAGAGTCATAAATAGAGGCTACAATGTGGATATGGTATCTTAATTACCTGCTAGATACCAGCACTCCTTTCAGGATTTGACTCCACCTAACTGTCCTCTGTGTACTCTGTGCCATTTACACAAGATATTTTGCTGAACAAATCCCTACCCATCATTTTTCCTCAATATATTTGCAATGCAAAAGAAAAACAGTGCATAGATGTAGAAGATTTGCAAGTATAAGTGATTAAAGATAACACATATAGTTTTAATGAACACTCTTTTAATAGAGAATGGATGATAATCTTCAGCAAGCAATGGTGTAATTTTAGATATGGTCCAGAAGTTCAGGAATCAGACATTTGAGTAGGAAGTAGCTTAAAGCACTACGTATCTGCCATAATTTTAGACTCTGAAAGCTGTAAACTGCAGCCAGGAAAATTTGCATCCCAGGGTTGGATATCATCCAGAGAAGATCGTCAGGCTACAACAACTTCTTAGAGACTTACCATAGCAACTTCCATCTTTACCTCATCCATACAGGCAACTCTTTCCTTCTGCCGAAACTTTGAGGATGCACTTATAGATATTTCCAGGAAATACATAGGGTACTTGACCCTTAGGACTGCAAAGCATCAATGAACTAAAACATCTTAGGGCTCTATAACCGTATTTAGCAAACAGACTGTAAGTGACAGAGGTTTATTGAATTTTTATTTCTTTTCTTGTGGGCCTATAACTGATGTGTTACAGTGACTGTCCTGCAGGTACTGAAGACGAAAGAGAGGTCATGAGTTTGACTAGTCATTTGTGACCAAGTGTCTCCTCTAAACACACAAAAAAACCTGTGATTCTAAGACATAGCAATAACAATGGGGGAAAAAAATAGTGATTTTTTAAAAAAAAATTGTGAGATATGGGAGGTAACTTCAATGAGCTAAGACCCACTCTGTATAAAACCTATACACCTTTCTCCTATCACTATAGCAAGATGATTTTGACTGCTGTCTATATTTCATCAAATTCTTCCAAATGCTGGTTAACTTCATAGTTACTATTTACAGACGCTAGCATTAGACATGCTATCTGTTCTAAATAAATTACACTCAGTGCTGTTGTTGAAATGTGTCGTTTCATAAACAATGAAGTGCGTGCAAGAACATCATCTCTCTACAAAAAAAGTTACAATGTAAAACTTGAATTCCTGAGATAGAAGATACCACAGGTGATTTAGCCACATGTTCAGAGGTGACTAACAAGCCCCATCCTGATTCAAGATCAAACAATAAAAGCATATTTCCCAAGTAATTCTTCCAAGACAAATTACAACCTCAAAGGCAAGAGTAGCACCATTCACAAAATAAGTCACCTACAAGAGCTGTCAGGTGGAAGAAAACATAACAACCAAGAAGCATGGCAAAATGGAAAATCATTTTTTCAGAGGGCAATATATACACTGGAAAGTCAATTGCAACATACATGAAAATCTTTTACAAAATTTCACCTACATATTGCCACACAAAATGCAGGTAATAAGCAAAATACTGTATTTAGTCTCCACTGTATTATTTTATTCCCTTGTTCACCCCTACACTAATTCAGTCATGGTACTCCAGTCACATAACTTAAATGCCATTAATTGTGTAATGGAACCCTCTCTTCCACTCTTCCAAAAAAAGTGAATTTTTTTAGTCAGTTTGGGATAATGGTTACATAGAAGTACCACTTGCACCAATCTGCAGCCAATATATTACCGCTTCTTCAGAAATTGTTGTCTTCCTCCTGTTAATTTGCTTGCAAATCATATTAAAAGTGCCTCCCATTCTTGTGTACACTCACAAAGTATAGATAGGGCTTTTCAAAGAACTGGCCACCCTTACTAATTACCTGTGCAGTTACACAAGCTAAGCTAATAAAGCTAATTGAGTTAGCCTTAAACACTGTAAACTCATCTATAGAAGGGATCGGTCTACTGAATTAAATATCTGGTAAGTCTTGCCTGTTTTCTAACAACTGATGGACATAATAAATACAGCAGTCACAGATTTTTCGTTTATTGTCAGTTGTCATATGGTACTTTTTTCAGTGCTTCCCTATCAAACTTCATCAAGTGAACAGAGGGCATTTCCTATCGCGCGTGGTCATATTGCTGCATTTTAGGTTTGTAACAGAAACTCTTCTTTGGCAGCGCGGTACATGCTGTTTTCCCATCCTGCATTTAGAAGGCTGAGAATTTGGGTCTATTGGTTAAAATATAGATATGCACATCCAGAACTCACCCAGATTTTTATTTGATTTTTTTTTTTTTTTTCCAGCTATATATGCAGCACTGGAATACCCAGCGTGCTTGTTTCATTATATTTCCTCCCAAAGAGGAGCTCTAAAGAGACATTTCTTTGGCTGCTGAATGCCCTGTATTTTCTCTCTTCACTAATCATGCATACTGTGCAATGTAGAGTTTGAACTGCTAAGCATAGTGTGATTCACTTTCTTATGTGGAAAAAAAAAAAAGCAGGACTGTTGCACTTCACATCAAAATCAATGAGTTTGTAACTGCTGGGACTTTTAATGATTGATGAGAGCTTTGGCATAGTTTCTATTTGGAAAAGAGGGCTTTGAACTGGTGGATGAAATACCAAGAGGAGAGACTTACATAATGGGCCCATCTCCCCTAATCTCCTCACCAAAGAATACACAAGGAAGAAAAACAAGGAGTCCCTTGTAACTCTTGCAGTGACAAGCATCGCATTTAATGTATTCAGTTACTTATTAGTAGGCCAATATAAATCTAGCACAACAGTGTGCAAAGTCAGCAGGGGGTCTGAATCCTGATGTTATTTTTCCCACCACTGAATAAATGATCCCAACCACCAGCTTCAGAAGCTCATCCTCATTAGTATGTATGAAATGAGCGGAATAAGCACTGAGAGATTTATATTGTTCTGTATTCAATTTAATTAATAAGAGACGGTGCTGATTTCTGGAGGAAAGAAAGAGGCAGTGTCCATAGATTACTGTTCACCTTTCATTGTTCTTCATGATAAAAATCTATCGCAGCATGGCAGCCTTAAAAAGTAAACTCATCATTTTCTAATCCTACTGACATTCATTAGCCAGACCTCTTAGCAACAGGCATATTATAATCTGCCACCATCACTAAGGTCACTGTAGAGTTCTCATTACAAGCCCTCTATTTAGAAGATTTTACAACTCTGATGGAAAATTTAAGGATAACCAAGGGGTACTTTTTGCTGTAGTCTTGTCCACTTTTAAATTCTGGACAGGCCCAAACAAAAAAGAACCATATAAATGTCAAACAAAACAGAACAAAACCAACCAAACAAAAAAAACCCCTAAATAAATAAACAAAACCCACAGCTACCTGTTGGTGTCAGACACTGGCCTGACAGCAATTAGTACAGGTAAAGTTACTGTGAAAACAGTTCCCAAGAGGCATGAATGATAAGTTCATTTAATTAGCATGAAGTAGATTGTGGGAAAAGGTGGGGTTTTTATGTCTTATCTGACACATACAAAGACAATAGCAAAATCAGGATTTGAGCTTAAGAATTGCTGTCTCACTACACTGAAGTCAGCTACAGTTTGGCTACTGATTCAAGTGAGACCAAGACTTGAACCAAACTTTACAGCTTAATGCCTGGGGGTCTTTTCTTATTCTATTTTACACTTATGGTCTTCCCAGTTTTCTGCTTTCACAGAGTTAGGAGTCATGGTTATTAACTAGTTAATGTTACCAATTTTGTCTTTTGAGTGATGCTCAGGTCCCAAGAAAGTCAGTGACAGAACTCCCAAAGATTTCTCTAAGTCCACTTCTTTTCCCCAAGAACTTCAACCCACATCAAACACAGCATGTTTATAAATATACTTTGATTTTTATTTAACTGAACACCAACTAAAAAATTTCAATTGAACACAGGCCCAAGCAAAAATACTCTAACATCATGTTTTATTTGTGTCTTTGACATAGTGTATAAGTAGATATTAAAATGCACACATGCTTTCTGCTGATTTTCTGTGAACAGTAATGCTTATTCCACACCGGGCTGAAAGTACTATCCAAAAAACATCCACAGGAAGTTCTTGCCAAAAGTGAGGGACAATGTTGAGGACAGACCAAATAAAGAGTTAGTCACCAAGAATTTTGCTATAAATAATACCCTGGGCAATAACATGTTAATTTGTTTTTCAGCTAGTGGGAGTTTCACTACTGATGGCACATAAATGAGGATGCCTGTGGTTTATTGCATGCAAACTGATGTTTTCCTCCACATTTCTTTTTCTTTATACATAGTCCTGCATTTCTCCAACTATGAGGTATTCTTCATCTACTAAACTTCCACACATGCACTGGTAAGTACACTCTAAAAGACTGGTAAAAAGTTTGGTATGGTGGTTTTCAGAAAGGATAGTGTTTTGAGTCAGAAATCAAATATGCATCTTCAAACAGTGGAAACCTCTTTTCACGGTGAGTTAAACAGAATTCTCCCAGCAGTCAGTTTCTGCATGGTCTCTTGTCCATTATGTTGAAACAGTGACTAATCTTCCAAATGGCTTTCTCACTCACTTCCTCTCAATTTTGTTGCAGTAATATCAGGGCAGCAGAGTGACTAAAACTCGGTTAGGCAGGACTGGAATGTCCAGACTGTGATTTACCTGGAAGAGTCACAGTTGGGAGCAGCAGATAGGTAATGATTGCCAGGAATGAGCAAATACAGGAAGTCTCTGTTCTCCTCCCCTTGTTCCCTGTTAATAGTGCAGGCTTAGCATTAGCAAATGCTTTTCAGCTCTAACAATCACCAGGAAACTCCAGATTACCACAACCCTAGAAAGAGGGAGGAAGGGAGGAGTTGCATCTCTCATGATCCTCATCAGATGGGACAGAGGCTATCACATCTGCGTACAGTAAGAAACATCTAACTCCTCACCTACCTGCACGAGTTTCAGTGCAACTTCTTACTGACTCAAACCCTTTTGAATACAAGTACCATTGGCAGAGTACAGATAATTATCTGGAAAAATGTAGACTACCAAATATGTCTCCAGAATTCTTTATTATTACTTTCCTCCATCCAACATAATACAGGAAAAAGCCAAAAGAGAGGCCTTCTACACCGGTAATGGAACTAGACCTAGAAACACCATCTGATCAATTTTCTGCTTAGAAAAAGGGATTACAGACAAGCAGACAAAGGAAAATATGCATTTCTGCTCTTTTTCCTTTATAGTATCTTTGCTAGACAGCATTCTCAGAAATCACCCAGGAGACCACATCAACTCTCCACTGTAACCCATAAAAAACACACTACTCTACAAACTTGTGACTCATACCATGTTTTCCATTTGACTCAAATAAATTTCTGCTCTTCTCTGTGAAGGACCAGGGACATTAAGTCAGCCTTGGTGAGGAAAGGTGCACAGGGAGGATGTGAGAGATGTTTCCTTTCACCTGCTGATTTCACCTTGCTAACAGCTTTGAGCCAAGAAGAGACAAACTCCATCCAGCCCACCCACCAGATGTGATGACTGTCAAGCTGCTGCCTTTCTAGACTGATCCCATGTCCCGGAGCACTGTTATTTCCTGGCTATCCTGTGTCACTTTTTCCACACAGAATTTGGTCCAAGTAACTCATCAGGCTGTGTTAGGAGGTGGCTGACACTGATGGAAACTGCTTTGCCAAAAGCAGGACAGTTTCTTCCCAAAGACTGTGTCATGTCCTTCAACACATTTTCAGCCATTCTTGTGTATCTTAGCAGGCTATAATATGCTTGACATCAATTCCTCCTTTAGTATGTAAAAATATTCATATTATTTAAAAGCAAGTATAAACCTAGAGCTACTCATTCTCTCATTTCTTCTTGTTTTAATTCAGTAATCTTCAAGGACTGAAGGATAAAACCTGACTAAAAAGATAATTTTCAATCAGCTGCTCAATGGTCAAGATCAAACCAATCCCATTCTTCTTTCATTGCTTTATTTTATCTCGATAATTTTTTGCTGCACATAGAGATTATTTGCTTTCCATTCTCTTTGATACTCTTCCTATGCATCTCCTTCCCCCACCACTCCTCTCTGGTTTCCTTCCTTCTTGCTTGCAGCACAATCACAAATCTTCTCAGCTGGAGCTATCATCCAGACCCTTCCATTTTATCCTGGCTCCTCTTTTCCCCTCTGTCCTTCTCCACTGTCAACAATTTGAGGGTTAAAAAAAACAAAAGCCAGCTGGATAAGAGTTAATGTTATGAAGTGTGTGTGTGTGTGTGTGTGTGTGTGTTGGGTAGGAGGATGGAATAAAGCCACTTTATTTCCAATACTGAAACCATTAACAGTTTCTATTTGGTAATATTGTATTGCCTAGCAATTCCATTTACTGAGTGTTCTTTTAAGGGCTCAGTTCCGCTGAAGGGACACTGAAAGTAATGATTTTGATTTATTAAACTAACTACTTCTTTTTATTCAGAATTGGGTTTGCTCTTAGTTTGGTGCTGTAATTTTGCATAAAACATTTTTATTATACTATTTACTTGTTTCAGTGATGTCTTTTCAATTATGATGATTTTACACTTAGTTACCCATATAGAAATGTTCATTTTTTTGGGGGGAAGCCACTGCAATGTTTCACCTTGAACCCATTTGCCTACTGCAAGAACTTAGGCAAAGCTAAAAATAAATGTCTTTCTTCACTGTTTTCCTTAAGTTCTTGATCAAGCCTTATTTTAAGGACTCCTGATGAGAACTGATTTACCAAAAGTAAACTATGAATTTAATATAACTGTTCAATCAAAATATATTCCACAAGTTTTCAGAGAGTCTTTCAAAGAGACACTACTTAATTTACTCTCAAGACAACTCAATAGTTACCATCAAACCTTAATCATACAGAGAGAAACAACTGCTGAGAGAAATATTTTATTCTGTTCAGTTCCTCACTGTATTCAAAAAGGGTGCAACACCTAAGAACAATGTTGGAATAGCTGGTGGTGTGGATCTTCTGAAAGAGTGAACTAAAACCATAGAGCACGGTACTTGAAATTAAATCACTGTCAAGTAACTGAGGAGCATGCTGTCCTCTCCCATAACAAAACTGAGGAGAAAGAAACCTTGAAAACTCTCTTCAGATGCTCTCTCTATAGTTTCTGATTAATTTTCCTCTCAGAGACTCTAACTACAAGAGACTAATGTGAGATCATCAATATCCAATGTGTGAAGAAATTAAGTTTCCCTTTATGGAAAATCCAATAGAGTTCAATAGCAAATAATTTTTCTAGTGACTTGAACTTAAGTGCCTATGGAATACAACAGATCAGTTATAATCCTGTTGTGGAGCTCTCCAGGCTAGTTAAAAATTACCATAAAATCCCTTCCTAGTGAAATTTTACAAAACATATCTTAAGCAGGTGAAATAGTTACGGATGCACTACCATTAATAAGATTATGTTAAACAGGAGGATTTGGCCCATGTGTGTTTAGAGTAATTTGATAATGAATCACTGCAAATTTCTGTTGGTTTTAACAACTGTTAAATTCTACATCACTTTCCCATATTGATCTTACATGCTCTGTTGTTTTCTCTGTTTCTTTAATGGGGAGCCGCTCCCTTCACCATATGGTCCAGCCGCTATCCAGTTTTCTCTGCTTATTTCACCATCATGTAACACTCCTCTTCTGGGAGCTAGATGACACAGTGACATGCGAATGTTGCTCACAGTGCAACATGAATTTCTGCTGATTTTTCTGGCACAGTACAGTGGGAGCTGACCAGGGTGGCCTCCCGCATAAAACATCTGCTCTGCAGCCTTGTTTGCCATCCAAAATCCTCCATAGTTGTAAAGACCAACCTGCACAGAATTGGCACAGAGACACTCTGGGTTCCCAGCAGAGGCAAAACCTTCGCTGCTATTTCCAGTGAGTATTACAAAATACTTTGCTGAACTTTAAATACTCTGGGTGCTCCTTGTTGAGCATATCCCATGTCAACCTATAGTCATCTGAGTATCCACTTTGAAGATGTTTGAAGAAAGTGATTAAGAAAAGCAAATCCATATATGCCATCCAGCAGCCTCAAAGTGTGGCACTTCTGGTAAGGTCCTTATTTACTTACTTTGCAAGGATTCGCCAACCATTAAAAATCATGTTCATAGAGGAAATTCATTATTCTTAATTTCATTTTACATATTCAGCAAGAGCCATAAAATGTCTAGCATTCATACCTTTAAACTAGGAGCCTGACTCTGCACGAGTTAATTGGGCAAAAGACCTATTGCCACTTTACACTAAGAGGCTGAGAATTGGGTCTGTGCTGATTTTTCTAAGTCTTGTTTCTTTTAGCTGCACTAAGTACAGCTACAAGCTGAAGAAAACCTCCTCACTTTCAAACCCCCACCACATTTTCAGAGTACAGCCAAGTTTGATGAATTTCCCTGAAGTGGTTAAAAGAAAGATCTTATTTTTCTCTGTGTAGGAGTAATTACTTTGCCAGGCATTCAATAATCTTGTCTTGACACAAATCATATTTGCAGTTTGATGAGATTTTGTAGG